ACCCCTCAGCACAACCTCTTGAGGTTTATTATCGTCGGCAGTTTTTTATCATCGGCAGTGGTCGATAGCAACTCCTGAGCTCTCCGGGAACACGGCGGCACGCAAATGATACGCATGTTTTTGAAAAACTTCATTTTGAAAAAAAATATTTTATTTAATTGCGAATTCCATTGAAATCTTTTCGAATTTGCGAAATCGAGCCGTCAGGCGCTTGAATGCCGCACTGCGTTCGAGATTTAGGCGAAAGCGTGTGCGACGCAATTTTCTCATGACACGCATTTTTTTTGAAAAACCTTATTTTGACAAAAAATATTATATTTGGTTGCGAATTCCATTGAAATCCTTTCGAAATTGCGAATTCGAACCCGCACGCGCCTGAATGCCACACTGCGTTCGATATTCGGGCAAAAGCGCGTGCGACGCAAATTTCTCATAAATGCGTCGCGTGCTTAAATCTCGAACGCAATGTGGCATTCAAGCGCCTGACGGCTCGATTTCGCAATTTTGAAAGGATTACAATGGAATTCGCAATTAAAAAAAGTTTTTTTTTTCAAATGAAGTTTTTTTCAAAAAATGCGTATCATTTGCGTGCCGCCGTCTTCCGGGAGAGCTCAGGAGTTGCGATTGACCACTGCCGATGATAAAAAACTGCCGACGATAATAAACCTCAGCCGATGATAAAAAACTGCCGACGATAATAAACCTCAGAGGAGCGCACGGCGAGAGAGAGAGAGAGTCTCACTCTCTCTCTCTCTCTCTCTCTCCCTCCCTCTCTCCTCTTTCTCTCACTATCTCTCTCTGCTCAAGGTGAGCTGCTGAAGCAGAGCTGCTCAAGCAGATGGCTGCTCAGAGAGCAGAACCAGACAATGAGACCTTCGAGAATAAAAAACAATTATTTCGAGGATGTCTCAAGCGAAATAAGCAATAGTTTGACGGTGTCTCAAGCGAAATCAGCAATAGTTTCAGGGTGTCTCAAGCGAAATACGCAATAGTTTCAGGATGTTCAGGCGAAATCAGCAATAGTTTGATGATGTGTCAAGCGAAAAACACAATTATTTCGAGGATGTCTCAAGCGAAATAAGCAATAGATTGACGGTGTCTCAAGCGAAATAAGCAATAGTTTGTGGATGTCTCAAGCTAAACAAGGGATTTGTCGAGGATGTCTCCAGCGAGATAAGCCATTGTTGAGGATATTTTAATGAAGACTAAACGCCAAGGATGTCTCAAAACGTGCTCGGTTTGGTCTCCTCTTGATCATCTCTTACTTCGAGATTATGCTGAGGTCTGGTGGGCTACTTTGATTATCTCCCCCTGAACCCCGAACTTTAGTACCCCCTAGTGTTTATTATCGTGAGCATGGGGTTATGTCATGGGCAGCACTGGGATGGGCTGCACGACAGTGTCAGAAAGCTGCTGTGCACAAGCAGCAAGCACGACTGTAATACATGGGCGAAACAGCAACACCAACTCACCCAGGACACATGAGAAGCACGGCCTGCAGAAACCACAAAACACTAAGACTTACAAGCCTGATCGTGCGTGCATGCAACCGTCGACACGCACAAGCGCACGCACGCAGTCACAATCATTTTCTCTTTCTCGCCCAATGATAAGATCGTCCTTCGTCCCTCTCACTCTCTCTCTCTCTCTCGCGTTCCCGCTCCCTCTATCTCTCTCTCTCTCTCTTTCTCTCTCGCTCTCTGTATCCCTGCCCCAGCGATCACCCTGACAACACATGGGAGGCAACTAAGAACACACACACACACACACAAACACAAACACACACAGACACACACACACACACACACACACACATGCGCATCATAGAATTACTCTGGCGAAGGACCCAACCATGTGCAGTTGTAAGTATCGCCTTTGTGTGTCTCGCCTCCGGTCGATCTCCCTCTAGGGCCAAGAAGCGTGTGAAGGGTATGCCGACATGGGGCGGGGCCACCATGCGGGCGCTGCTACGGGGGCCTTAGGTATACCGCCCCTCTGTGGGGCCACGAAACGTGTGAGGGGTGTGCCGAAATGAAGCGGGGCCGCGATGCGAACGTCGCCGCTGGGGCCTTCGGTGGAGCTCCCAGTGGGGCCACGAAACGCGTGAGTGGTGTGCTGAAATGGGCGGGCGGGGCGCATGCGAACGTCGCCACTAGGGCCTGCCGTGGAGCTTTTAATGGGGCCACGAAACGCGTGAGGGGTGTGCCGAAATGGGCGGGGGTGACGCATGCGAACGTCGCCACTGGGGCCTTCGGTGGAGCTAGTGCGCTAACATGCGCAAGGGGGACGCATGCGAACGTCGCCACTGGGGCTTTCGGTGGAGCCCCCCATGGAACCACAGAACGCTGTACTGGACAGGGCGGACGCATGCGAACGTCGCCACTGGGACTTTCGGTGGAGCTCCCCATGGGACCACGAAACGCTGTACTGGGCGGGGCGGACGCATGACGCATGCGAACGTCGCCACTGGTCCCTGGTGCCTTTAGTGGGGCTCCCTATGGGGCCACGAAGCGCTGTATTGGGTGGGGCGGACGCATGCGAGCGTCGCCACTGGGGCCTTCTCTGGAGCTCCCTATGGAGTCACGAAAAGCTGCACTGGGCGGAAGGGACGCATGCGAACGTCGCCACTGGGACCTTCGGTGGAGCCCCCTTATGGGGCCACGAAACGCTGTACTCGGTGGGGGGGCGCATGCGAACGCCGCCGCTGGTGCCTTCGGTGGAATTCCGTATGGGGCAATGAATCGCTGTTCTGGGCGGGGCGGACGCGTGCGAACGGGAGCCGCGAAACGTGTGAGAGGTGTGCACACATGGGTGCGGCTCCTGTGGAGCTCCATATGGGGCCACGAAACATGTAAAGGGTCTGCCGAAATGGGTGCGCCAGCGCCATGCGAACCCTCCCACTGGCGCATCACGCAACGTGTGAGTGGTCTGCCGAAAATAGTGCGGCTGCGACACGCGAACCATCCCACTAGGGCCTTTGGTAGAGCTCCCTATGTGACCACGGAGCGTGTCCCCTGGAAGGGTGCGGCGGCGGTATGCGAACTTCTCCACGAGGGCCTGCGGCTGAGCTCCCCATGTGGCCACGAAGCGCTCGAGGGGTGTGCCGAAATGGGCGAGGGCGCCGCCATGCGATACCTCCCTCTGGGGCCTTCGGTGTACTTCCCTATGGGGTTACGAGATGATGATGAGGATGATGATGATAATGATGGAGAGAGCGTGATCCACCGCCGCTTTACTGTGGAAAATTGCCGCCCTCTTCCTCCGGAACCCGGGGGCCCCCCCCCCCCTTCCCGAAAATCCCCCCCCTGCTGGAACCCCTCCCCCCCCCCCCGCAAAACCCCCCCCCCTCCCCTAACCCCCCCCCCCTCGGACTCGAAAACCGGGGGGGGTCACTACTGGTTCGACCCCCCCCCCCCCTCGAAAACCGGAGGGGGGGGTGTACCGGTTCGAACCCCTCCCCACCTCCCCTCTCACCTCCAGCAAACGACTCCCGGTCCCTACCACCGTCCTCACCACATCCCCCACTGTTGTTCCCAGCGCCACTGTCCTCACACCACTGTCCCCACTGGTTCCACCACCGCCCCTACTGTCCCCACCAGTGCCACCACCACTGTCGCACTGTCCCCCGCTGTCCCCACCACTGTTCCCACCACGGTTCCACTCTCCCAACTTTCTCCACGACTATCCCCACTGCCCCCACTGTCCCACTGACTCCTCCGCTGTCCCACTGAGCTGTCCCACTGTTCCCACCACTGTCCCCACTGTCCCCACCACTGTCCCCACTGTACCTCTGTCCCATTTTCCCACCGCCGTCCTCGCCACCGCCTTCACCACTGTCTCCACCACCACTGTACCCTCCACTGTCCCACTGTTTCCACCACATTCCCAGTGTCCCCACACCACTGTCCCCACCACCAACGTCCACACCACTGTCCCACTGTCCCCACTGTTCCCACCATTGTCCTCCCCATTGTCCCCACCACTACCGTCCCCACCACTATCCCACTGTCCCCACCACTGTCCCGTTGTCCCCTCGACACTGTCCCCACCACCACCGTCCCCACCACTGTCCGCACCACCCCTCGGTTTTCGAGGCGGGGGGGGGGGGTTCGAACCGGCAGTGACCCCCCCCGGTTATCGAGTCCCCTTTTCATGATGAACTGGGGGGGGGGTTCGAACCGGTAGTGACCCCCCCCCGGTTTTCCAGAGGGGGGGGGGAGGGGTTCGAACGGTAGTGACCCCCCCCGGTTTTCCGCCAGCAGCGGTAGAACACGCTCTGATGATGATGATGATGATGATGATGATGATGATGATGATGATGATGATGATGATGATTATGATGCTGATGATGATGATGATGATGATGATGATGATGATGATGATGATGATGATGATGATGATGATAATAATGATAATAATGACGATGATGATGATGATGATGATGATGATGATGATGATGATGATGATGATGATGGTGATAATGGTGATGCTGATGATTATGATCATGATGCTGTTGCTGATGATGATGATGGTTATGGTGATGATGGAAATAAGTGTGATGTGTTTTGTGCGGCGCATCCCGTGGCCGAGGCGATGGTGGTGGTGGTGATGATGATGAAGATGATCATGATGATGATGATGATGATGATGATGATGATGATGATGATGAGGAGGAGGAGGAGGAGGAGGATACTGATAATGATGATGGTGATGGTGATGGTGTTGGTGGTGATGACGATAACGAGAAGGAGCGCGGAGGTGAGGGACGAAGAAGCAAGGAAGGAAGGAAGCAGCGCGACGCCGAGAGCTGCTGATTCAAAACGAGGTCCCAACACCACAGGATGGCTGGGGAAAAACGCGTCACAGATAGTGCAATCGCCCTGTCGTGCAGACACGACGCTACCACCTCTGACATAATCCGAAATGCAGATATGTTCGCCTCTACTCACGCAAATTGTCGACACGCCAGCCTACAATGTCAGAGAGTCCCGTCGGCGATCCCAGACAGTCTGAAGCACTTCAGCACGGATTCCTGCAACGTCAACTGAAATGAAGAGCATGGAAGTGCCAACGCAGAGTGCTCGGAAGTAACAAAGACGAAAGGGTTCCACAAACAAACGGGAAGCAACGGAGAAGCAACGGATGCCACTGCCAAGGCAGAAACGCAGGTTAGGCAAATCTTGCCGTAGAGCATGCACTTTCCTTCGGAACAGATTTGCTGTGAGATCATTCGCCCACCTTTAACATCACTCCAGGCATCTAAACGTGCTGGCTTCAATCCGACCGTTCGAGATTTGACACTCGATATATGTAAGAGAGAGAGAGAGAAAGAAAAAAAAAGAGAGAGAGAGAGAGAACAAAGAGAGAGAGAGAGAGAAAGAGAGAGAGAGAGACTTACTAGCAGCATCCCCCACAACCACATCTACGAGGGGATGTCTTCAAACGCGCCACTGCGCAGTTCGGACCCGAGGTAGTGACCTAACACGTGCAGCGCAGCCGAGGGAGGAGACTGGGGGGGGAGGGCGAGAGGACAAGGAGGAAGCAGGATGAGAGGAGGGCGAGGCCAAGGACGCGGGCGAGGAGAAGGACAAGGAGGAGGAGGACGAGGACGACGACGACGACGACGACGAAGAGCACGCCGACGACGACGCCGACGACGACCCCTCAGGGCGAGGTCTGGAGATCCCCGGAGGCCCGCGGAGGTCCTCGCGATGCCGCAGGAGGCCGCCCCCCAAAAGAAAACTCCCGCAAGCTGGCATCAACTTCGATCGTCGAGCCGCGACGCTCGGGGCGAGGGGCCATCCTCCCTCTTCCTTCCCCCCCCTCCCCCCCCCATCCTGCAGCTGCTGCTCCTCCTGCTCCTCCCCCTCATCAATCATCCACCACCTCCGTCATCATCATCACCACTACAACCTCCACCTCCACGTCCACCTCCAACTTCACGTCCACCTCCACGAACATCATCATCATCATCATCATCATCATCATCATCATCAGCATCATCATCAGCATCACCATCATCATCATCATCATCATCATCATTATCATCATCATCATCATCATCATCATCATCAGCATCATCATCAGCATCAGCATCACCACCACCACCACCACCATCATCATCATCATCATCATCATCATCATCATCATCATCAGCATCAGCATCAGCATCAGCATCAGCATCAGCAGCATCGTCATCATCATCATCATCATCATCATCATCATCATCATCATCATCATCATCATGATCAGCATCATCATCATCATCATCAGCATCATCATCAGCATCGTCATCAGTATCATCAGCATCAGCATCATCATCATCAGCATCGTCATCAGTATCATCAGCATCATCATCCGCAGCAGCAGCATCGTCATCATAATCAGAATCATAATCAGCATCATCATCAACATCATCCTCATCAGCAGCAGCCGCATCATCATCATCATCAGCATCATCATCATCAGCCTCGTCATCGTCGCAGTCGTCATCATCGTCATCCCCATCACCACCATTAGCATCATCGTGAGTAGTAGCATCATCAACATCATCAGCATCATCATGATCATCATTATCAGCATCGTCGTCATCATTGTCATTCGAATAAACGCAAGCATAGTCATAATCGTCATCAGCATCAGCATCATCAGCACCATCACCATCATCATCATCATCATCATCATCCTCATCATCATCATCATCATCATCATCATCATCATCATCATCATCATCGTTGTTACTGACCCCACCACCATGACAATCACCCATCACCGTCACCTCCACCATCACTACATCATCACCATCAACTCCACCTCCACCTCAACTACCACCATCACCACCACAATCATCACCACCACGACCATCACCAACACCATGATAGCCACAACCACCACAACCCCTGCCTCCACCTTCCTCATTCCTCCTTCCTCCTTCCTCATCGTGTTCCTCCGCATCTTCCTCCTCCTCCTCCTCCACTTTCTCCTCCCTCATCCCCTCCGTCCCTCCCAGCTCCCCCTCCGTCCCCCCAGCTCCCCAGCTCCTCATTCCTCCCTTCCGTCCTTATGCCCTTCCTTCCGTCCTTCCGTCCATCCTTCCGTCCGCCCGTCCATCCTTCTGTCCTTCCGTCCTTCCGTTCTTCAGTCCTTACTTCCTTCCTTCATTCCTCCTCCATCCCTCCCCCCCTCCTCCCCCTCCTCCTCCCCCTCCCCCTCCTCCTCCTCCTCCTCCTCCTCCTCCTCCTCCTCCTCCTCCTCCTCCTCCTCCTCCCCTCCTCGTCCCCGCCTCCTCCTCCTCCTCCTCCTCCTCCTCTCCTCCTCCTCCCTCCTCCTCCTCCTCCTCCTCCTCCTCCTCCCCCTCCCCCTCCTCCCCCTCCTCCCCCTCCCCCCCCCCTCCTCGTCGTCCTCCTCCTCCTCCTCCTCCTCCTCCTCCTCCTCCTTCTCTTCTCCTTTTTCCCCTCCTCCTCCGCCCCAGGAGACAGCCGCCAGGCCGGGGGGGGGGCGGGGGCGCGCCCCCAGAGCCGTCGGGCTCGCTTCCCCTCGGCAGGCGGGCGCCGCAGCCCCAGCCCGGCGCTGCGCCGCGGGGACGAGGCCAGCTCCGGCCACCGTCGGCCCGGGGGCCCCTCCCGCTTCCAGGCTCAAAGCTCACAGGGTGGGACGCGCAGAGACATGCTAGTACTGTATGTCCACCTTGGTGGCGCGCGTCATACCTGGACATATAATACACCCCAGTTGTAGTATATCGTTTCCCGAGCGGTGTTGCCAGAAAGCGCCCGCCACGACGCATATACTATAAGATCCCACCAGCCCTCGGGGCGCAGGTGGTCTAGTTTCCAACCTCCTTTTTTTCCCTGCTCGGGAGGTTTACCTCCCCCCCCTCCCTGCGTCTGGACGGTCTCCCACGCGAGGTGTCAGAGGGCCCGTTTCGGCCCAAGATGGCTCTAAGAGGGCTTCAGAGAGTGCAAGATGGCCTCCCAGATGGCCCAAGATAGTGGTAGATGGGTCAATATAACCTTCGACACACGTCTAAGGGGCATCAAGACGGCCCCAAGACGGTTCCAAGTGCTGTCCGAGGCCTCCGAGGACCCCCCAAAGAGGCCAAAATCCTTCAAAAACGTAAGGAAAACCAGTGTTGTTTGCCTTCTCGCTTTTTCGCCTGTGATGGACTCTTGAGGCCTCAAGATGGCCCCGAGACGGTCCAAGATAGCCCCAAGACGGGTCCAAAAGGGCCCAAGACGGCCCCAAGAGCACACAAGAGCGCTCCACGAGTGGGCCTACGAGGGCCCCACGACGGCACTTTTGATCCTCCGATGGGGGGATCCGAATTAAGGACCCCCCTCTTTTTTAGCGAAAGGGTCCAAGACGGCCCCGAGAAGCCCCTCAGGCATCCCAAAAGAGCCCCAAAATGGCACCCAGACCCCCCAAAAAAAACCGAAGAGGGCCCAAAACGCCCCAAAAGAGCCCCAAGAGGGTTCCAAGAAGGTCCTAAGAGGACCTCAAGAGAGCCCCCAGAAAGAGCTCCAGGAAGCCTCAAGAGGGCCCCAAGAGAACCCCAAGAGAACCCCAAGATGGCTCCAAGTTTCGAAGCGCACGCGAGCTTAAGATACAAATCGGTGCAACAACCATTACGAGTCATCGAACCAACACTCACCCCTCATCGAAGCACCATCGTAGCTTGCACGGATACCCATCTTAAACTTCAATGCGGGGAGCTATGTGTGATCCTTGTTTTCCCGAAGACGGCTGCGCGACTGCATGCGTCCTGCCGCCCCTGATTCACCAACTCCCTTGTTGATCGTTTCTGAATGGGCTGGTGGGGATACTTTTTAGTCAGCGGCCGCAGGCGATCGCGCCAGCGGCGAGTCCAGTAACCGCGGCGCGCGCAAAGACGAATTCACCTAACGCGGTGGGCTGGAGCCTCACGCAGCACCTCAGCGGCCGAGCCGGCGAATGGGAAAAGGCTGGCGGTAAACTGGGAAGCAGTACTGCCAACGTGCACGCATGTAACGCGTCGGAAGCAGCTGGCGGCCAGGGTGACCGGCGACCAGGGACTGCAGCAGACGTGGGAACTAGTTGCAAGGGCACAGGCCCCCGGACTACTACGAAGGTACCAGGGTGGCCGCAGCCAAGTGAACCGACTGTCGCGGGCCGAATTGGGTGCCCAGAGGAGGCGTGAGCATCAGCAAGCTGCAAAGTACCAGGGTGGCCGGGGCCAGGAGGTCCAACAACAGCAGAACGCACAAGTGCGAGGAGCAGCCAAACTGCAGCGCGGCCAACATGGCGCGTGGGTGCCACGAAAGAGGCCGTGGAAACAACTCGGGAATCCAAGCTGCGACCCAAGGCCTGGCGGGTGCAAGAGGTGGCGCCAGCGAAGTCGCGCGGCTGGTGGGGATTTTTTTTTTTCGGTCGCGGTCGCGAGACAAAGGTCAGGCGGCAAGAAGCAAAGTCCGGGGCACGAACGAGGCTAATTAGCTACAACAGGCACAAGCCGGTCGGCCCGCTCACAAAGCAGCCGCGAAGCTGAAGGGGAGCTGACGGCAGGGGTATCCTGAGAGCTCGAGCACAGGCTGGTGGGGATACACTTTTTTGATTGGCGGCTCCAAGGAAGAGTCGAGGAAGCGGGGCAAGCACGACTGGGGCACAGGCGAGATAATTAGTTACGAAGGCCCCCCGGCCGCCGCAACAGGTGCACCTGCAAAAGGCAAAATGCCCCCCATTAGGATGCGAGCGACCCGAGACGGAGACGCAGGCACCAGACTGGAGCACACGGGGAGAAGACGCACAGTGGCGCCAGCTCAAACCGAACAGCCCAGAGAGCGTAGGCTAGGGCCGACCAGCCGAGTGGCGGGGCAGTGGGCACGTGGGACCGCACCGCTCACCACCACGAGGCGAGAGAGCAGGGAAAGCGCGGGCAGAAGAGGGGTGGCCGGGAAAGCCTCACTCACTTGAACTCCCAGGCGCGATCCGACGTGAAGCATCGACCAATGCGCTGGCGTCGATGCAGCCGCGGAGTCCGAACCTAGACTACCTGACCCAGTGTCGGGGGAACGGCAGCAGGCGTGGCCTAACACCATGGTCCAACCCGTAGTTGAGCATGAGTACTGTCAAAGGATGAACCCCTTGTGCAGTATCAGGAGCACGATGGTGGCTCCCGCCCAGAGTTGCACCACGTCGTAGGCAAACAACGCAGGCAGCTTATCCATCACGGTGGACGGGGGAACCAAGGCTGGTGGGGATACACGAAGCGTCGAGAATTTCTTGGTGCGCGCGTCGCCCCTGGGGGGGCGACGCACATATAGTATAAGTATGTTGGGGTGACGCCGATAGGAAACCCACAAAGGACGTACGCGCCCAGCTATGTACATGAACACGGCCCCTCGATCCGCGGGACCAGCCGAGTTACACGAACCTCTGCGCAACGCGTGCTCTGGAAGCCAGCGTGGGTTCAGGTACCTGTTCGTCCTATTTTCGCCCCTGAAATCAATGGACCAGAAAACAAACGACACCACCCCATCTACGGCCCCACGGGGCTCAGCGTGTGCCAGGAACTTCGGCGTGGGTGTTTACGTGGTATACGCCACGGCCCCCGATGAGCCGCAGCGCAACATGGAGGGCCGTAGGTGGGGTGGTGTCGTTCGTTCTTTGGTCGGTTTAAGGTTCAAGTCCTGTCTGGCCCGTGAGGAGCAGGACCCTGTGCGAGACCCTCACGCGTCGGATTTCGCTCCAGCAGCCAGTTCGACGAACTGAGAAGACAGCACCTGCGAGACCTGCTAGCCGATCTTCTCCAGTCACCACGCGCCCTCTGGGTGCAAAAAAACGCCCACCGCGGTTCACCTGGTGCGTTTTTCCACCCCAGATCCGCGTGTTCAACGGTCCTGGGCCGAAAGGCCGAACAGGGCAAGAGAACGTCCCGAACCCAGAAGCGCCAATCTGCAGGCCCTACCTGCTGGCAGGAACCAGCGCTTGGCCAACTCAGACCCCAGACGGTGAGCATATACGCCTGGACCCCGGGGCGAGATACCTTTGCGCGGGCGGCCCCTGGCGGTCGTCTGTCGCGCCCCACCCTCCTGCCCTGTGCGGAGTCGTTTCCTCCGAGTGGCGCTGGTGCGGGGCCGTATCGAGTGGCTCGGTCGCGTCCTCCTGGCGCCAGCAGCGCTTCGCATCGCCCAATTCATGCGCGGACACTCGGAGGCTGCTTAGGATGCTTCCCTCTCCAAATCCCCCTTCCTCTCCTCCACCTCCTTCTCCCTTCCCATACTCCGAGCGCCTTTCTTTATTCACTGTCACAACAGGCGTTATGGGGGGGAGGGGGAGGGGGATCCGGGAGGGGGCATAACGAAGCGCCCCCCACCCCCAGACTGTGGTGCCGGACGCACTGCGGCAGTGCCGGGGACGCACTGAAGGAGGGAGCGTTACGTTTGCGGGGGGGGAGGAGGGGGGGAGGGGACGGGGGGGGAGCGGGCGGGGTTTAACGCGCGTGATGGCCCACAGGGTTGTTTCTTCCCCCTCCTCCTCCCTCTATGTGTTCCGCTTCCTCAGAAGTACCTCCGCCCCTCCGACACTCCTCCGCCTCGAGGCCTCCCCTCGTGGCGGTGGTGGCGCGCCCCCCCGAAGGGGGTCCTCGCAGGACTCGTCCGCGAGGACGAAGGGCACGAGGCCCGCGGCCTACGGAGCTGAGCTGGGGCGCGCCAGGCAGGCGCACTCCGCCTCCTCCTCCTCCTCGTCCTCCTCCTCCTCCTCCTGCTGTTCCTCCTGCTGCTCCTCCTGCTGCTCCTCCTGCTGCTCCTCCTGCTCCTCCTCCTCCTCCTCCTCCTCCTCCTCCTCCTCCTCCTCCTCCTCCTCCTCCTCCTCCTCTGCTTATTATTATTCTTAGTATTCTTATTATTAGTATTGTTATTATTAGTATTATTAGTATGATTAGTAGTATTACTATTACTTTTACTATTATTAGTATTAGTATTATTATTAATAATAATAATACTATTATTATGGTTATTCTGTTTAGTCTTAGTATTATGATTATTATTACGGTCAGTATTCTTCTTATGAGTATTAGTACTATCTTCTTAGTGATAATATGATTGTTCTCATTATTCCTCTTCTCCTTAGTAGTAGTATTATTAGTATGTGTATTTGATTATTAGTCTTTTTGTTGGTACTAGTCTTAATATCATTGTTAGTATTATCCGTATGCTTATTATTCATAGTAGTCTTCTTATTACTAGTATTCATCTTCTTAGTATCAGTATTAGCATTATCAGTGTCAATATTATTATTCTTAGTATTATTATTAGTAGTCATAGTATTCTTCGTATTCGTATTAGTGTTCGTTGTCTTATTCTTCTGAGTAGTAGTACTCTTCTTATTCTTCGTATTATACTTCTTATTATTCGTCTTACTATTATTACTATTCGTCTTCGTCGTCGTAGTAATATTCTTCTTCTTCGCAATATAATCATTATTAGTATTACGCGTCGTATGACGATTCTTTTTATTCGTCGTATTATTATCATGATCGTTCTTATTAATATTATTATTATTGTTCCTCCTCCTCCTCCTCCTCCTCGTCCTCCTCCTCCTCCTCCTCCTCCTCCGACCTCCCCCTCCTCCTCCTCCTCCGCCTCCTCCTCCGCCTCCTCCTCCTCCTCCTCCTCCTCCTCCGCCTCCTCCTCCTCCTCCTCCGCCTCCGCCTCCGCCTCCGCCTCCGCCTCCGCCTCCGCCTCCGCCTCCGCCTCCGCCTCCTCATCTTCCTCCTCCCCTCCTCCTCCTCCTTCCTCCTCCTCCTCCTCTCCTCCTTCCCCTTCCCCTCCTCCCCCTCCTCCTCCTCCTCCTCCTCTTCTGATTATTCTTATTATTAGTCTTATTCTTATTCTTATTCTTATTATTATTATTATGATTATTATGATTATTATTATTATTATTAGTATTATCATTCTTCTTCTTACTATTATTATTCTTCTTTTTCTTATTATTATTAGTATCATTCCTCTTCTTATTATCATTATTATTCTTATTATTATTCTTCTTATTATTATTATTATTATTCGTATTCATATTATTATTATTCTTCGTATTCGTCTTCTTATTCTTCGTATCATTCTTATTATTAGTAGTATTATTATTTTTATTATTATTATTATTATTAATATTATTCTCATGTTTCATCTTCTTGTTCTTCTTCTTCGTCTTCATCTTCCTCCTCCTCCTCCTCCTCCTCCTCTTCCTCCCCGTCCTCCTCCTCCTCCTCCTCCTCCTCCTCCTCCTACTCCTCCTCCTCCTCCTCCTCCTCCTCCTCCTCCTCCTCCTCCCACTCCTCCTCTTCCTCCTCCTCATCCTCTTGCGGCAAAGTGCGAGCCTGCAGCGCAGACAGCCCGCACCTCCTGCGCACCTCTATAGCACTGAGGACATGCAGCACCTGCCACGCCCTGCGCGACTGCAACGGATAGAGACCCCACGCGCCGTGCGCACCCCCTTGTGGTGTCGAGAAGGTGCCACGCCTGCTGCGCCTTCTTCGAGCCTGCAACGGATAACGACCGCGCTCAGGGACCACCGCTTGCGCCTGAGGAGGAGGAGGAGGAGGAGGAGGAGGAGGAGTACCGTGATGTCGAGAAAGTGCCACACCTGATCTGCCTTGCGAGCCTGCAACGGATAGATGGCGCGCTCAGGGACCACCCCCTGCCACACCCTCCTTGGCGGCCAGAATGTGTAACGCTGGCCACGCCCTGCGAGCCTGCAACGGGTAGATGGCGCGCTCAGGGACCACCCCTTGCGCAACCCCAGGTGGTGCCGAGAAAGCGCCACGCCTGCTGCGCCTTGCGAGCCTGCAACGGATAGAGACCGCGCTCAGGGACTACCCCTGTGGCACCCCCTGTGGTGAAGAGAAGATGCCACGTTTGCCAAGCCCTGCGAGCCTGCAACGGATACAGACCGCGCTCAGGAACCACCCCTTGCGCACCCTCTGTGGTGTCGAGAAAGTGCCACGCCTGCTGCGCCTTGCGAGCCTGCAACGGGTAGAGACCGCGCTCAGGGACTACCCCTGCGCCACCCCTTGTGTTGCCGAGAAAGTGCCACGCGTGCTGCGTACCGCGAGCCTGCAACGGATAGAGACCCCACGCTCAGGGACAACTTCAGAACACCCCCTTGTGGAGTCGAGAATGTGCTACGCTTGCCGCGCCCTACGAGCCTGCAACGGATAAAGACCGCACTCAAGGAACACCAGCGCCACCCCTCGTGGTGTCGAGAAACTGCCACGTGTGCTGTGCACTACGAGCCTGCCACGGATAACGACCGCGCTCAGGGACCACCCCACGCAACACTCCTTGGCGTCGAGAATGTGCAACGCTGGCCACGCCCTGCGAGCCTGCAACGGGTAGATGGTGCGCTCAGGGACCACACCGAGCGCACCCCCTGTGGTGTCGAGACGGCTCCACACCTGCTGCGCCTTGCGAGACTCCAACGGATAAAGACCGCGCTCAGGGACCACCCCTGCGCCACCCCCTGCGGTGAAGAGTAAATGCCACGCCTGCCACGCCATGCGAGACTGCAACGCATAGAGACCGCGCTCAGGGATCACTCCTGCGGTATGAAGAAAATGCCACGTCTGCCACGCCCTACGAGGCTGCAACGGATAGAGACGAGTGCTCTTGGCACGCGCGAGCGACAACAATTTCATTGGTGTACGGGACGTGGGAGGCGCGTGTGGGAGCGCAGATCCCATGTGTGCGCTGTGTGCTGTATGTGCTGTGTGCATGTGTGCTGTATGTCGAGCGAGGAGGAGGAGGAAGGGTGAGCAGTTGGGGTCGCGGTTGCGAGGCATGTGTGCTGTGTATGTGAACTGTATGTTTGCTGTATGCGTGCTGTGCGTATGTGTGCTGGATGTGCGCATGCTTTCTGTGTGCTGCATGAAGAAGGGGCGAAGAGGGGAAGGTGAGGTGTGAGGGTGTGCAGGGTTCGATGGGATGCTTTTTGCGTGTCTTGTGCATGATGTGTGCACTAATGAGGTATCATGTGGTTGCGTGTGTTGTGCAACAGGAGTACAGTCGGACTTGATTGGAGAGGACACGCGAGAGGACACAAGACCCTTCCGAGGGCCACGTTGCCACAGGACTGCAGGAGGCATGGGTTGCAAGACACAGGACACGAGGGTACCCTCGATTTGGCAGGGTCGACCTACTAATCTGGGCCGCCTGTAGGAGGGGGTGAGGAGAATGGGGAAACCAAAAGGTACCGATACCGCTACTCCCCGGACCTCTCCCAGGGTGCGTTCTGACCAGGATTTCGAGGCGAATCCAGCGGTGACAACGAGAGCCTCCGAGGCCGAAAAAGGGGAAAACGGGCGACGGGCAGCGGTATCGGTACCTGTGAAGGAGGTGAGGTGTGTGTGTGTATGTGTGCGTGCGGTGGTTCGTCGCTGGGGGGACGAAGCGGAGAAGAAAACCAGACTCCCACAAACCGTGTGTGGGGGAAAAAACGCTCCCGCACCGCGCTCGACCCCCCCAAGATCCGTGCCGTTCGAACAGGTCCGGAGTGCTCTGAAGCAAACCGAGGAAGGGACCAAGGCCTCTCCCCAGACCTCTGGATCCGGGGACCGGAAGGACCTCTGGGGTCGACGTTGTGAAACAGTACGACGTCGGAAGTCTGACGTGTGGGCCCCTTCAACCCCTTCCTCCCTCCACCTCCCCCGCTGTGCTCCTCATCTGCGAAGCCGCCAGACCCGAACGCCGACTGCCGTCAGCAGTGATCCGTATTTTCGTAAGTGACTGGCTCGAGGCCTGCCTCGCGGCTCGTGGCTCTCGTGTCGCGCATCTTTGGCCCAGCACGTGTCGCGCGACTTCTTCCTCGTGGTCGTCATGGTCTTGGGGGGCGTAGGTCTCTCCCCAGACATGCGACGCCCTGATTTGTGCAGGACGGCGCCCCTGGAAGTCCCGACCCTCTCCCCGGGACCAGCTCTTCGTCCCGAGTCGTTTTTGTTGACGGTCCCGAGGCCCCTGGCGAGGGCCCCCCTGGGGCCGAAAGCAGCCCAACACCTCCCGTCCTGTTTTTTTTACGACGCGATCATGTCTGGGTCTCTCTCTCTCTCTCTCTCTCTCTCTGCTCTGGCCGTTCACGGGCTGGCGCTGCCATACCTGCGTGAGCAGGGTGCGGGGAAAGCGCACGCTCGCCTCTCGGGGACCGTGCTTTTGTGGATGCCATGACAGTGGACAGCCGAACAATCCTACCATTGAATCGAAAATGTATGTTAAAATGTAGGAAACATGTTTAACACATGTTTTTTACATGTTGAAGACATGGTCAGCATTTTCTGATTCGGCGTTTCGACATCGGGCGGACGGGGGGGAGGGAGTCAGACTCCAGACCTCTGCTTAGTGCGACTGTTTGCAAGAGTGCTGCCTCTGGGGGAGACCCCACCCGCTCGACACAGGCGCCAAACAACAGCCAAGATCTTCTCCATGGGGGGGGGGGAGGGGGGGTGCGAGGGCCCGCGCCAATCGGCAAAACAATGAATAAAAAAAACTACCACTATCGTAAATGCCGGAAAATGTTGAAAACATGTTGGTTGCATGTTTAAGACATGTTCTAAACATGGTTTAGACATCTGGAAACGATTTGGCAGCACGCTTCCTCTCTATTGACCGTCGTCCACAGACCTTGCTCCACTTCGGGATGGGGGCCGTGCGAGCGAGTGTCGCCGCCTCCTGCGCCGTCCACCAAGCCCCCGCGAACCACAGAGGGGAAGCTCGACCACGAGAAGCCTTGCACGAGAAACCCAGCCCTGAACCCCCAGGATGTTCCCTGTGCTTTTTACAGTGGAGGCCGACCACAAGAAAAATCTACAAGAAACCCAACCCTGAGACCTGAGGACGTCCATTGATTTGTGGTGTTGGAACGTCACGCTTTGCATGGCAAAACCATCGAAACCCAAGAAACCCAGGGCACCCTGGAGGCAAGCAGGGTGTGTCTTGGCATGGGTCCCGACTTCAGTATGGGAGCGTCAGGTTCCCCATCATAGAACCATCGAACCTAAGAGACCCAGGGCACCCTGGCGGCAAGCAGGGTGTTTCTTGGCATGGGCTTCTACTGAAGGCTTCCCCACCGCTGACGCACCGAAGATCGGAAAGCACATCGATCCTGATAAAGGCCCTGTAAGATCCACGGCCCACCAGCCTTCAGACGGGCGAGACCCTCCCATCCTTAGGTCCGCCACGCTAGACCTAGACCACCGGAACTTTGGTACACGGTCCCGCGGAACAGAAACAAAGGCTCTGCGTATGTGGCGTAAGCCTGTAGAATCGAGCAAGAACATCCTCGACTACTTCTTCACCCCCTCCCGATAACAAACGCAACCACTTCTGCACCCCCTCAGGCAGAAACAGCCATGTCCTCATCCACTGCATCAACCACTTCTCAACCACCTTCCTCCGCCAAAACATCTCATTTCATCGTTTTTGACTGTTTTGCGATTGCGGCTGTCACCGGCCCCGGCCCCCCCCCTCCCCCCCCAGGAAACGTCACGATTCGTGCTGACGCCCGAGCTGTGTTTGGCCATCGGTGACGCCCGCTGTCGCCCGGGAAATTAAGAAAACGCCCCCAAGAAGCCGAGTCTGCCACGCCAGACCTGGCCCCCCTTCGGGGATGGAGACAAACCCCCCCTTTGGCAAGACGTGGTCTAGTGAAGACGACCTCGGGCCCAAACCTGGCGGGCGCCAGCCTGGAGCATGACGGCCGCGGCGCCCTCGCGGGCACCGACGGACAACTCACTGATCGACGTGTCAGGGTGGGGGGTTCTGTCCACCCCCGACCCCTCCGATGCGAGGCGGGGATTTATCCGTATCCACCGCCTGGGAACCGACGTCCTGGTGCCCCCCAGCGGGCGGCGGACGTGAATATATCCCACCAGCCCTCTGGGCTTAGGTGGTATAACGCGTTTTTCTCTTCTCTCTACCCCTCCCCCTACCCCCTCCCCTGGGCCTGGGAGGGGGGGGGGACGGAGGCACCGCAGCGTCCAAGATGGCCCAAGAAGGCTCCAAGAGGGCTTCAAAGTCACAAGATGGCCTCCAAGATGGCCCATGCTACTTCAAGATGGGTCAAGATAACCTCCGACATACCCCAAAGAGGCCCCAAGACAGCCCCAAGACGGATCCAAGTGCCCTCCGAGCCCTCCACGGCGCCCTCCAAGATGCCAAAACCCTTCAAAAGCCTAGGGAAATCAATGTTTTTGGCATTATCGCCTTTTCGCTTCCGATGGGCTTTGGAAGCCTCAAGGTGGCCCTGGCCCAAAAGAGGCCCAAGAGGAGCCCAAAAAGGCCGAAGACGGCCCCAAGATCGCCAAAGAGGCGCCCCAGAGCGCTCCAAGAGGGCCCCAAGATGCCATTTGAGAGCCTCCGAGGGGCGATGCTAATTGAGGGACCTCCTCTTTTTGAGCCATGGGGCCCAAGATGACCCCAAGAGGCCTCCCAGCCTCTCCCCAAAGACCCTCCACCCCGCCCTGCTTGGCCCAACATGGCTCCATAAGAGCCCTAGATAGGCAAACATGGTTTTCAAAATGGCCTAAGATAGCCAAGCATGGCTCAAGATAGCCTCCGACAGACCTCCAAGAGGCCTCAAGGCAGCCTCAAGATGGCCCAAGATAGCCGAGCCTGGCTCAAGCTAGCCTCCGACAGCCTCTAGCCGAGCATGGCTCAAGATGGCCTCCAAGAGGCCTCAAGAGAACTGGCAATCAATTCTGGATGGGCTGGTGGGGATACGCGAAGCGTCAAGAATTTCAGCCCCCGGGGGCCCTCAAGGCGGTGGTCATGTACAGTGCAGGCGCGGCCGCAAGAAACCCTCGCAAGAAACCCAACCCTGAGAACCCGTGCGCGAGGTGCACCTGAGGGGAAACCTGGAGCACCCTGAACGCAGCAGCTCCTCCAACGGCTGCGGGAAGTCGCCGCGCAGCGCGAGGGGCGAAGAAACCCAGGATACCCTGACGAAAAGCATATGGCTTCTTGATGCGCGCCCCCACTGTATACACTCCCGCCTCGGATCCGACTCCGGCGGGGCGGCGGCCGCACCCCGCGCCTGCGCCTCCGCGAACGCGGCCTCCAGCGGGGCGCTCACCTCGAGCAGCGTCTGGCCCTGCTGCGCGCGGCCCGGCGCCGACGCGCCGGGGAGCCGGGGCTGCTCGGCGGAGGGCGCGGAGGGGGGGGGGGAGGCGGAGGGGTTGCTACGCTGCTCTCCCCAGACACGATTTGTTGTAAACCGGGGGCCAACAACACATTTTGACCCTCAAGACTCCCCCTGATACAAAAACAGGGTGCGAGCCCCGGGAAGGGCACTTCAATCGAAAAAAACAATGTCCACCGGACGGGGGGGATCAACAATAACTATTCTTCAGAAATGAGAGCTCGACAACAACAACAACAACAACAACAACAACAACAACAACAACAACAACAACAACAACAACAACAACAACAACAAGAACAGGACCAAGAACAACAACCACCGTCGTGACGCTTGTTTCACAACGCGAGGGGGACCGGGAGGGGAGGGAGGCTTCGGGGATCGAGGCTTCCTCACGCGTTCGTCGGTCCTCGGCGACTCTCCCAGCCGGGGCACGCCTGCCGGCTCGGCCGTGCGTGCCTCGCCGAGGGCGTGCACCCGGGGCTGCCCGCATCGTCCCGGAGGGCCGCCAGGGAGCTGCCGCCGAAGGGCCCGAGAACCGAGTAAACTCAACATCAGCATCTGCATCAGCATCAGCATCAGCATCCTCATCAGCATCATCATCAGCATTATCATCAGCATCAGCATCAGCATCAGCATCATCATCAGCATCAGCACCAGCATCATCATCATCATCATCATCATCATCATCATCATCATCATCATCATCATCATCATCAGCATCAGCATCAGCATCATCATCATCACATCATCATCATCATCAGCACAGCATCAGCAGCATCATCATCATCATCATCATCATCATCATCATCATCATCATCATCATCATCATCATCATCATCATCATCAGCAGCAGCAGCAGCAGCATCAGCATCAGCATCATCATCAGCATCATCAGCATCATCAGCAGCATCATCAGCAGCAGCAGCATCAGCATCAGCAGCATCATCAGCATCATCAGCAGCAGCATCATCAGCATCAGCATCAGCATCAGCGGGCGGTTTGCGGCAGTTTCCTCGGAGGTCTTCGCAGATTCTCGGCGGCGCTCCAGCCTCGGATGACCTCCAGCAGCTGTGCCCCGCCGTAGGGCGACGATCAAAAACGGGTCTTATGCGAGATGGCACAGCGACCTTACGCAGTACCTTTCAGTCGGACTCGATTGGACAGGACACGCGAGAGGACACACAAGACCCTTCCGAGGGCCACATTGCCACAGGAATGTACGAGGCATGGGTCGCGAGACACAGGACACAAGAGTACCCTTGATTTGGCAGGGTCGACCTACTAATCTGGGCCGACTGTACGCGAGATGACATAGCGACCTTTTGCAGTAGCTCACGCGGGCCGCCCGCGCGGCACGCCACAGTGGAGGCGAGGGCGCTTATGCGCGACCTTGCGCGGGCAGCTTACGCGCCGATGTCGGCGCAAACGACCCCGTTTCTTCGTGTCGCTCACATGGAAAGCGGTTCAAAGGAGGTCCCCGATCAGCCTCAAGAGGCCCCCAATGCAGTAGGAGCTCGACTGCAAGAAGCCCTCCACCAGAGGCCCAACCCTGAGGCCCCAGGACGTCCGTTGATTTCTGGCACGGGACCGTCACGCTTTCCATGGCCAAGCCATCGAAACCCACGAAACCCGGGGCACCCTGGAGGCAAGCAGGGCGCTCCTTGGCACAGGCTTCCCCTGTGAGCCCCGAGAGGCCCCCCCCGGAGGCCCAAAACGAGGCCCAGAAGAGGCGGCGGCCGCCGGCACGCTCCTCCTCCTCCTCCTCCTCCTCCTCCTCCTCCTCCTCCTCCTCCTCCTCCTCCTCCTCCTCCTCCTCCTCCTCGTCCTCGTCCTCCTCCTCCTCGTCAACCTCCTCCTCCTCCTCCTCCTCCTCCTCCTCCTCCTCCTCCTCGACGCCACCGCCGCGGCCTCCACGCCTCGCCGGGGGCGCTCGGCGGCACGGCGGAACGGCCTCCCGCGTCGAGGCCTCTTGAGGAGAGCCACCGGCGGCAGGGGCGCTGCACTCTTTGGGGGGGGGGGGGCTGGGCGTCCCCAGAGGCCTCCTAGATGGGGTCCGAGCAGATGGGGTCGGAGGCTCGCGCCGCATCGGCGATACGTCGCCGATGCATCGGCGATACGTTGCCGATGCATCGGCGATGCATCGGCGAAGTCGACGAGGCATCGGCGCCATCGGCGTGGAGAAAATCGGCCTCCACATCGAGCCGCATCGCCGGTGTATCGGCGATGCGGCGCGATCCTCCGACTCCGTCTACTCCGACCCCATCTAGGAGGCCTAGAGTCCTCGCCCAGGGGTTCGTGCCCCGGGGCCCACACAGGTCGATCTGGCCGCAGGAAGAAGTCGAGGTGCACCAGAAGGGTGCACGACAAGGACGCAAGGGCCTCGCAGCGAAAGTCGCCGAGCATGGGCAAAAGGGGCCAGGATGCAGGGGTAGCCTTGGAAAGCTGCTCATCCTTACTATCCGTCAGGGAGGGAGGGGTGTGAAAAGAGAGAGAGAGAGAGAGAGCGAGAGAGAGAGAGAGGGGGAGGGGGAGGGGTGGAGAGAGAGAGAGAGAGATTCGGGCCAGGCGAAAGGGGGGATAGCAAAGGGGGGGGGTGAGAATCAGCTCACGTAGCTGACTTTCCCGGCGCCTCCCTGCGCCAGAGGCGGCCATGTATCGAGGAATGGGACATGTATCGAGGAATGGGCCAGAGGCGGCCATGTATCGGCGGGGCTGAAACCAGCTGCATGCAGCAGATTTCGTAACCCCCCCTTTCCCTATCCCACCCTTTCGTTCGGCCCGAGAGATAGAAGAGAGACGAGAGACCGGAGGAGAAGGAGGAGGCGGAGGAGGAGGAGGAGGAGGGAGGGAGGGAGGGAGGGAGGGAGGGGAGGGAGGGGAGGGAAGCGGGAGAGGAGGAGGAGGAGGAGGAGGAGGAGGAGGAGGAGGTAGAGGAGAGACGAGAGACGAGAGACCAGAGACTGCCCAGCATCAGTTCGGCGGGTGCGGCTTGATGCGCCGCCGCCAGGGAGTCCATGTGATCGAAAGCCCACAGGGGGGCGGCCTGTCTGTCCCCTATGTACCGTCCGCCGTGCTTCCTCATCCCTGCTCCCAGCTCCTCTCCATGGACCCCTCCCCCGCCTCCGCCAGGAGGGGGGAGAGGGGAGGCGGAGGAGGGGGAGAAGGAGGAGAAGGAGGAGGAGGAGGAGGGGGCGGAGGGCGGCGGAGGCTGGAAAGGCGGAGGGAGCCAGGAAGGGCCAGGAGGTTAGGAAGGCGGAGCGGGCTAGACAGGCGGAGGAAGCCAGGAAGGCCGAGGGCGCCAGGAAGGCAGAGGAGGCCAGGAAGGTCGCAGAGGCAAAAGAGGGCAGAGGGGTGCCGGGAGGGCAGCGGAGGCCAGGAGTGCCGCGGAGGCCAGGAAACCCGCGGAGGCCAGGAGAGCAGCAGGGGCCGCGAGGGCCACCAAAGACAGCCAGGGAACTGGAAATCCCCTCCTCCTCCTCCTCCTCCGCCTCCTCCTCCTCCGCCTCCTCCTCCTCCGCCTCCTCATCCTCCTCCTTCTCCTCCTCCTCCACCTCCATCCCAGGCAACCCCCAGAGACCTCCCCGACGGGGTCGGAGTAGATGGGGTCGGAGGATCGGGCCGCACGTCGATGCATTACCGACGCATCGACGATACATCGGCGACGTCGGCGATGCATCGGCGACGTCGGCGTGGAGAAAATCGGGCCCCTCATCGAGCCGCCTCGCCGATGCATCGGCGATGCGGCACGATCACCCGACCCCTAGAGAAGAGGGCGCGAGGAGGGAGCCCAGACATGCGCGGTCCTGACTTTTCAAGACGCGGCCCCCGGAAGTCCCGGCACACTCCCGGGAACCGGTTCTGCATATCCTGAGTCGTCCTCTGACGGTCCTGGGGCCCCGCGAGGCTCCCTCGGAGGCCGAAGAGGGCCGAAGATAGGGGGCCACATGCGAAGCCTACCCCTGCCCCCCACCCTCTCTCCCCGCCCTCTCTCCCTGCCTCCCCGCCTCTCCGCCTTCGCCTCCAAGAACCCCTCGCGTCGTGAGTAGGGGGCCACACGCGAACCCTACCCCTGCCCCCCTCAGAGACCGTGGGGGGGGGGCAGGGGTAGGCTGCGCATGTGGCCCCCTACAAAACCTCCCGTCGCGGTTGTTGGCCGTTGCGCGATCAGGTCCGGGAGAGAGCGGAGCCCCCGGGCGGCCCCGATGCGGCGGACCTGGCCCGGGCTGCACCCGTGGAGCCCGCAGACCCGCACCTGCACGGAGCTCCCGTCGCCCGCATGCAGGATGCTGTCCTGCGGGCGCCCGCCGCCGACGACGCCGACGCCGACGCCGACGCCGACGCCGACGCCGACGCCGACGACGACGCCGACGCCAACGACGACGACGACGACGACGACGACGACGACGACGACGACGACGACGACGAGGGCGGGCTGCCGCAGCAAGAGAGAGCCCGACCGGCCGGGCCCAGCCTCTGGAGAAGCTCGAGGTGTCCCCCGCCGAGCTGGTCCCCCCCTAAAGGAAAGAGAACTATGCAAATACAGTCGGACTTGATTGGAGAGGAGACGCGAGAGGACACAAGACCCTTCCGAGGGCCACGTTGCCACAGAACTGCAGGAGGCACGGGTCGCAAAACACAGGATACGAGGGTATCCTCGACTTGGCAGGGTCGACCTGCTAATCCGGGCCGCCTGTACACCGATTCTGACCAGGCCCATCCTGAGCCCAGGATCGGTGCATACGTCCTTCTACCTTGGCCAGGAAGGTATATGTACCGATCCTGGGTCAAGCATGGGCCTTGCCAGGATCGGTGCATGTGCATAGTTCTCTTCGCCCGACCCCCCCCCCCCAGTGGCCCCCCCTCAGCGCCGCAGCGAGGGACGAGCGTATGTGAGGGGAGGGGGCAGGAGGAAGACAGGGCTCGTTCTCTGAGGCTTATTCTGGAGACCCCCAGAGGCCTCAGAAGGCTGCTGGGAGGAGAACCAGGAGGAGGAGGAGGAGGAGGAGGAGGAGGAACGGGAGGAGGAGGAACGGGAGGAGGACCGCGAAAAAATCACGACAAGTTGTTGGCAGTGATCGGCCTCCAGGGGCCCTTCGCCAGGCCCTGGGACCGTCTTCTGCTCGGTGCGCGAGCCGTGCTGCACTGAGCGCTGGTCGAGCGGGGGCGCGGCACGGCACTGACGTGGGCCCCCAGCGTGGCTCGGCGGAGCGCGTTGGTGCCCGAAGAACGCGCCAGCCCTGGAGGGAGGGGGGGGGAGAATGCGAGGCGGGGATTTATCCACATCCACCGCCTGGGAACCGACGTCCTGGCGCCGCGGCGGGCGGTGGGTATGCATATATTTCGGCCCCCAGGGCCCGAATATGTACATATCCACCGCCTGCCGAGGCTCCGAAAATTGACCCTCCAGGCGGTGTTCATGTATAAATTCCCGCCTCGGGGAGAGAAGGGAAGCACGATGAAAGAGCGATCGAGGCAGGCTCGCCGTGGTCGTCCCCATCCCTGCCGCCCGGCAGTGCGACCCAGGATGGAAAACTGGTCCCAGAGATTGGGCGCGAACTGATGGGGGGGATAAATGGGTGGCAGCGAGGGCTGCAGAAAAGTGGCCTTTGGGGCCCCCGAGGGGGCTTCTAGGGTCACCTTTCTTCCTCCCTCCTCCATTTACCCAGACCCCCGACGTCGTGATTCTTTCACAACCCTTCCCCGGGACCGGTTTTTCGTCTCGAGCCGTTTTTTGACGGTCCCGAGGCCCGGAAGGACCCCCCAGAGGACGACAGTGGCGAAAACCCGCCAGTCGTGATCGTTTCACGACGCGAGGGGGTGCGGGTTGATCGCCCCCCCGGGAATCGCGCCCAAGGGGGGGTGTGGGAAGGGACTTTCAGGGTTAGGTCGGGCATGTCCCCCTGCAGGCGGGTTTTGGAAGAAATGCAAGATATTATTAAAATACACCACAGTGGCCAACAAAAATCATCAAAAATCGTCCCCAGACTATTTTTTACTATTTTTGAATATTCGTCCTATGGAAGGACATGCCCGACTTCATTACAGGGAGCCCCGTGCTGGGGAAAGTGCCAGGATCGGGGAGACGTAAGGCTCGGGTACGGGGGACTCGGGTTCGCCTGTCGGGGCCGCCATAAGAGTGACGAGACCTGACCTGACATTTGACGCGAGCTCCCGCTGCAAACACCCCACGAAAACTGGACCGCTCGTCAAAAAACGCGCTCGTCAAAAAAACGCCAACAAAAACATCGGCAAACCCGAGTTCCGTCAAACAACGTCAAAAAACGTCAAAACAAATAAAAAAACGCGCTCGTCAAAAAAGGTGAAAAAAGAATCAGAAAACGTCAAAACAAACGTCAAAATGCATCAAAAAACAGATCCAAAACGCGCTCGTCAAAAAACGTCGGCAAACCCGAGTTCCGGCTTACTCGAGTCTGACGTTGCCCCGACAGGACCGCGCGCACGCCTGGGCCCCCGGGCGCCAAACCTGCGCGCTCCTCCGGAGGGGCGGGCAGCCTCGAGCTCGGCCCTGCCCCTCCGGTCGGGCCATGTCCCTTTACAGGAGGAGGAGGAGGAGGAGGAGGAGGAGGAGGAGGAGGAGTGAGGAGGAGTGAGGAGGAGGAGGAGGAGGAGGAGGAGGAGGAGGAGGAGGGAGGAGAGGAGGAGGAGGAGGAGGAGAAGGAGGAGGAGAAGTGAGGAGGAGGAGGAGGAGGAGGAGGAGGAGGAGGAGGAGGAGGAGGAGTGAGGAGGAGTGAGGAGGACGAGAAGTGAAGAGGAGTCAGGAGGAGGAGGAGGAGTGAGGAGGAGGAGGAGTGAGGAGGAGTGAGGAGAACGAGGAGTGAGGAGGAGGAGCAGGGTGGCCCGGCTCAAGCGGGGAAACATCGGCCTGGAAGCGGCGACGCAGACAGCTCAGCGGTAGGCCCCGACCGCACGGTCCCTGTACAGGAGGAGTATTCAAAAGTAGTCACGAATAGTCTGGGAACGATTTGCCTACTATTTTGTGTTGGCTAAGTATGTTTGCAGATTTTGGATGTATTGCTTATTTGTCCTCCACAATCCGATGTTTATTTGTCCTTCACACTCCGCCTGTAGGAGGACCTGCCCGACCTGACCCTACCCCTCTGACAGGCCCGAAGGCGACAGCAACACTAGGGATGCACCCTCCGAGATTGAGAATATACGTAACCTCGGCATCGAGAAGAGGCGGCGATCACAGGGACTAAAAAATGTTCTGGGCTGGCAGCGAGGGGCAAGGGAGGAGGAGGAGGAGGAGGAGAAGTGAGGAGGATGAGTGAGGAGAAGGAGGAGGAGGAGGAGGAGGAGCGAGGAGGAGGAGGAGGAGGATGAGTGAGGAGGAGGAGGAGGAGGAGGAGGAGGAGGAGGAGGAGTGAGGAGGAGGAGGAGGAGGAGGAGGAGGAGGAGGAGAGTGAGGAGGAGGAGGAGGAGGAGGAGGAGGAGGAGCAGTGAGGAGGAGGATGAGTGAGGAGGAGGAGGAGGAGGAAGAGGAGGAGGGGGGACCGGCTCAAGCGGGGAAACATCGGCCGGGAAGCAGCGATGCATCGCCGACAGCTCAGCGGCAGGCCCCCGACGGCGTCTCCGCCCGGTCCTGGGCCTTGCCATGGCTCGGGCGTCCATTCCGAGCGCACCTTGTCGGCTTCGCGCGTGTCTTCATCTTTTTAGGCCGGCTGATCCTGGATGCTCCTCGATGATCCCCGCGCCCGGGCGACGCCAAGGGGCGAGGTGGGCTGTCGGGCCCGCCCCCCTCGGCGATCCGCGGGCGTTCCCTGCGTATTCTGTCGGTTTCGCGCGTGTCTTTTTTTGGGAGGCAGGTTGATCGGGGATGCTCCTCGATGATCCCCGCGCCGAGAGGAAGATGAGCGCGCCTGGGCGATGCCGAGGGGCGGGGTGGGCTGTCGGCCCCCCCCTCGGCGATCCGCGGGCGAAAGGGAATGCAAAAAAAAATATCCCAGTGCGACCCTACCTAGGAGTTGGAGCCTCTATGAAAGCAACTTTAGTAGGAGCGGTAAACGCCGTCCTCCTCCCTCTCCTCATCGTCGTAGTAGTAGTAGTAGTAGTAGTAGTAGCAGTAGTAGTAGTAGTAGTAGTAGTAGTAGTAGTAGTAGTAGTAGTAGTAGTAGTAGTAGTAGTAGTAGTAAATGTTGTTGCTGCTGCTGCAGCAGTAGTAGTAGTAGTAGTAGTAGTAGTAGCAGCAGCAGTAGTAGCAGTAGCAGTAGTAGCAGTAGTAGTAGTAGTAGTAGTAGTAGTAGTAGTAGTAGTAGTAGTAGTAGTAGTAGTAGTAGTAGTAGTAGTAGTAGTAGTAGTAGTAGTAGTAGTAGTAGTAGTAGTAGTAGTAGTAGTAGTAGTAGTAGTAGTAGTAGTCGTAGTAGTAGTAGTAGTAGTAGTAGTAGTAGTAGTAGTAGTAGTAGTAGTAGTAGTAGTAGTAGTAGTAGTAGTAGTCGTAGTAGTAGTAGTAGTAGTAGTAGTAGTAGTAGTAGTAGTAGTAGTAGTAGTAGTAGTAGTAGTAGTAGTAGTAGTAGTAGCGCCAGAACCGCCGACGCCACGCCGTACGTGAAGCAGCAGCAGAAGCAGGCAGCAAGTCGCCGAGACAGCAGCAAAAGCAAGCAGGCACGGAGATGAGGGCGGGGCATTGGGGAGTTCTTTACGTCTACATCTATATCTACACCTACATCTACATCGACACCTATAGCAGCAGCAATAGTGGATGCTGTGCTGGGCTATGATATGCTATGCTATGATATGCTCTGCTATGCTATGCTCTGCTATGCTATGCTGCGCAATGCTATGCTGGGCTAGGCTAGGCTAGGCTATGCTATGCTATGCTATGCTATGCTGCGCTATGCTATGCTGCGCTATGCTATGCTATGTTATGCTATGCTATGCGTTGGCTTTGCCTTCGCTTTTGCCTTCACGTTTGCCTTTCTTTTGCTTTTGCTTGGCACCCAGGGAGCGCAACTGGGGGAACCGCGCGTTTGCTTTTACCTTTGCTGTTGCTTTTGCTTGGCTCCCAGGGGACTGGGGGAACCGCCCGGGGCGCGTTCCACTGCCCGGCCCCTTTAAGCCAGGACAGTAAGAACCCTTCTAGGCAGAGCCTAGGTAGGGAAAAACGACGAGCAAAAAACGGCCCACGAGATGGCCAAAACACCATTTAGGTCCGGCCCTGGCTGCCCCCGATCCTCCCTCCCCTCGTGCACAGGCCGGGCACGCCTTGGGGAGAGCACCCCCCCTCCCTGAAGCACGAGGCCTATAGGTCTGGCACGTCCTCCTACAGGCAGATCTTGGAAATA